AATCTATAAGTTATCACATCTTTACTTATTAAGAAAATTAGACTGCCTCTATTCAAAATGTCTGAAGGTTTCATTTGGTACCACTATTGTTTCTTCATTCTGAAATTAAAATGAAGACTAAATTGAGGTGTTAATCTTCATGGATTAATGACATAATGTATAGGAAAAGCTGAGACTCACAGAATTGGAGGAAATCCAACTTCTACTTTCTGAAAACAATCCTTTCTAAAATAGAAGACGATTGAGCATTCAAGTCAAACATTTCAAATGGTAGGGAACTTCCTGTGCTTCAAGACAGCCACTCCACTGTACAGTAGTGCATGTATTTTGAAAAGATCATATGACTGAGAATCAGTTTTTTATCTTTAATAATTCTGGACCTAACCTGATCCTAGCCCCTAAGCCACTCACTTCAGTCTGAAGACTCAAATTCACACCACTTTTTAAAAACACCATTGTAACCATAAGTAGGATTGTAAAGAATGTAAGTCTAGACCTCTGGGACTTTGCAAAATGTCTCAACTGCTATTGTGTCCTTCATTGTCCCAGTTATAACAGGGAAGACACGAGTTGATCTCACTTGTAAATGGCAAGTGTTTCAGGGGCCCCCAAAGTTTAGAATGAGAAGGGACCCACAAGAAAGTCCTGCAGACAGGAAAAGGAAACCACCTGGCAATTGATAGACAGAGTTGAATGCAGGAAATATGGTAACCAGGTAGTAGAGAGCCAAAAAAGTAAAGAGAACACTGAGGTAACAAAGGGGCAGTAATTACAGAAAGCAAGTACGAAACCCAGGACTAGGAGAAGCAAAGGGAAGAGAACCCAGGAGCTCCTAAGAGAGAACCTCTGGGCTGGGATCCAGACCTTTGAAGTATTGCCTAGCTTCTGTTGCCTTCTCTGAGAGGTGCCATGAAACTGGTCTGGTGGTGCAGGAAAAAAAAAAAGAAAAGAAAAGTAGGAAATGAGGCTGGATCCAGCTGTCAGATAACGGTGTAGAGTCATGCCGAGATGCAGTTGACAGAAGAAGGGAGCAAGCTTCTCTTCTTTCCTGAGCTTTTGTCTCCCTTTGGAGCTCCACAATGGCAAATGCCAACAGCACTAGCCAAGGAAAGTGAGATTGAGAGCCTCTGTGCTAGGAGCACACAGACAGAAAGGAAGGGTGGGCTTGGAGCTGAGCAGCTGGTTTGATGCCTGGCACAAAGATCACTTAGTCCTCATCCTCTTCTTTCTTACACATGATTCTGGGTAAATCAAGAGCATTTAAGACAGTTGTCTAAGGCCCCACTTAAGAGAAGCACAATAGTACTAACAGGCATGGTATATATAAACGTAATGACAAAGTATACTTGAGAAAAACAGAATGTTTCTACAGAAGAGAATTTTATAGGTACAGTAATTCACCCTTGGTCATGGAAGATATGTTCCAAGATCCTCAGTCTGTGTCCAGCTCCACAAACAAAGCCTGACCATATATATAAATATATGTGTGTGTTCATGTATGTACATATATGAACACACACAGCAGTATATAACTCTGCATCTTTTCCTCTCGATGCACATCTATGGTAAAGTTTAATTGATAAATTAGGCACAGTAAGAGACTAATCAGTAATTAATTTAAAAAATAGAACCTTTAAAACAATAGACTGCGGTAAAAGTTACTTAAAGCTTATGAATTGCTTTCTTTCTGGAATTTTCCATTTAACATTTTCAGACCACAGTTGATTGCAGGTAATAATACTGTAGAAAGTGCAACTGCAGATTACGAGACACTACTGTAAGAGATGTATTCAGATGAGACATTTTCAAAATGTGTTTTGGCTTGTAAAAGTCATCTAATTACAGTAATTTGTGTGATTTAATTAATTACCCAGCTATAGAATTATGACTGCATATGCTAATGCTGAGGGTCAGATCAACTTTGTTGTTTTAATCATAACACCAGGCCCTGATCATGTGGGGACACTCTTCAGAGGTTGTTGTTCATATGCTGCAGCCCTACACACAAGATTCCAAGAGTATTCAGTAGGAACGCGTTAGTGTTCTATGGAAGGCAAGGAAACGAAAATCAATGGAATGAAGAGGGACAATACCCTTAAGTGACAAGCCCAGGCAGCTCAGATGCATAGCCGTCATCATCAGATCTCTGGTCCCCTAGGATATCAAGCAGTAATATTTTTAGTTGCCTTAGCATCACCTCAAAATGTTCACAGATGGCCATCCAAGAAGAAAAGTACAGAAAGTCTGTGGAGTGTTGAATCTCAGCTCTGTCACTTCAAGGTGATCCTGAGTAAATTACTTTAGTGTCTTACTGTTCAATGGGAATAAAAATATTCAATTATTTATTCAACAAATACTCACGAGAGCCTACCTTGTGCCCGGTACTGCTCTAAGGATTGGGGAACAATGAATCCCTTCATCTTTAATGCGCTTTGCATCTCACTACAGGAAAACAGAAAATAAACACACAAATACAAAAAATGTTAGGTGGCAGAAGAGAAAATGAAAAAAGCAGGACAGGTGAGCACAGAAGGATAAGGGGTAATTGTCTGGCTGATAACACAACATCTAATCAGATAGCTGAAGGAAGGAGGGAACCACGTGAATTTCTGGAGAGAACTTTCCCAACAGTGGAAACTAGAAGTCAAGGACCCCGTGGTGGGACTTGCTTAGTGAGCAGTGTGACAAGTAGGGCCAGGGAATTGTGAGGAGGGAAGAAAGGCATGTAACCATACCCTGGGAATACATTCCAAAGTTTTGAGATGAAGACTGACGTGATCTGAATTGTTTCTAAAGAACCGTTGTGTCTGGGTGAAGAATCAACTATGAGAAAGCAACAGAAGACTGAGAAAGTTGTTAGGAAGATACTGCTATTACCTAGGCCAAGGATGATTTTGGCTTAGAATTGGATGGTAGGGCTGGAAGAGCTGAGAAGTGGTTGGGTTTAAGGTAAGTTTCAAAGTCCAAACCAATAAAATTGCTGATATACAGTGAGAGGAGAAGTAAAGGGTGATCCCAAAGTTTTGACCAGAATAATAGGGAGGTTGGTGATCTGATACACAGAAGGCAGTGAGTGGGGCTGTTAGTCGTGGTAAGGCTGTTGTGAGATGATAAAGCAGTGCAGTAACTAAGAAGATGGAAACTAAAGCAGCCCCTTGTCCACCCATGGTAGGTGTTCCATGAAGCTGAGCCCCTTCTCTGCCCTTTGTAACAATCCTCACCCCTTCTTACTCTGAGAATGAATGTATTCGCTGCTCCCACACACCTGCCCTTTTACACACTACCTCTGCACAGATCAATATACAGTCCAAACGGTTCCACAGCAGAGAGAGAGTCAGCTGATCCCCATCCAGAAAAAACCCAACACATTCAACAGAGATAGGGAAATCACATTTTTAAATAAAGAGAAATGTTTGCATGGCAATTCTCCTAGTGCCTCAAAGTACTTCCCGTTCTCAGCACCCTACATTTCTCTGCTGTTCATTGTCTTTTTTATCAGAAATTCTGTGAAAACTGAAATATAGTGTCTCCTAAGTTTTGTTTTTTTTTTTTTGTGCTGGGGACGGAACTCAGGGCCTTGCACTTGCCAGGCAAGCGCTCTTCCACTGAGCTAAATCCCCAACCCCTCTCTGAAGAGATTCTAAGAACTGAAAAATTAACAAAAAAACTCTAGAAATACATTAGTGAATATATATTTCTTGGCAAAATTTCCTTCTTATTTTTATTCTTTTGTCTAAAATTTGGAAGCATAATATTAAAAGGAAGTAAGTCATGTAAATGTCTATTCACTTGCATTATGTAGATATGTTTCAGCAATATTTTCTCCAATGTCAACTTGAAAAATGACCAACATATAAATAAATGCATATGGTTTACATATCAAAAAGATAAGCTCAGTTCTTTAAAATTCTTTATGGCAGATTCATTTGAAATGTCAGTATTCCACTCACATATCTCTATACTCTTAAGAATCATCAGCATTTAATTTATGAGTGTTTTTAGATGGGAAGATTCTGCTGCTTAAAATTCAATTCAATCCCCTCGGCCTGAGTTGAGGAACACTTCTATTTTGTGTTTTTCCCGAAGCCCTCCTCTATACCCAATTTCCCATAATTAATCTAATCTTTAATCCAAAGTGGAATGCAGCTCACATCACATCCTCACCCAAACCCCGGGACAAACAACACATTTGTCCCATCACTGCTATTTCTCTGTCCCAAAGGAATATCTACTATGTGTATGACTTCTTATAGCATTTAAAGTTCAGTATAATATGCTTAAGAAATGAACCCCACCGCTGGCCTGGGGGCAGCTGATGGCCCACAGCTGGTAGGAGTCATATAAGACCACAGGCAGGTTTCCCTTCAAGGAGTGTGTGTCTTGGTTATATGTGTGTGTTCATTAGATTACCCTGCAGAAAGTAAACCAGCTTTGCCAAAGAGCCAAAGGGGCAAACAAAGACTTCTCTCTCTTGCTTGGCAAGTAGGAACATTGGCAAAAGTAACAAAGCCCTGTCCATGTCTTAGGTTTGTGACTCATGGCTTTTAATACTAAATTATGGTATGACAGGAGCCTTTCCAGGCTCTCCAAGGTACACAGTAGAAAGCACATGTCTGAGCAAATATGCCAATATTTAGTATAAAACGCAGCAAAGAAGTTGTCACTGGATATGAGAAGCCCAGAATAGACTATACAGTCTTTTGTTCATGTGCTTCCAACTGTAATGTTCCTAAATCATGACCAAGGAATCACTTATCTCCAGGAAGAATCTTCTTCTCATTTTTATTAAGAGTATTCTTCTTAATGCTTTTCTTTATGCTTCACCCCCAAGACCCATGTTTAAAGCAAGTAGCAAGATTTATCCAGGCTTCATTATCATGATAATTATTAAAAGTTTTCACTCTACTATCATCAAGTCCGTTTTCCAGCTGGGATGGCCTTGCTGTTTGACTCAGATGGGAAAGAAAATTGGTTTTGACTGGTCTTTTTTTGAATTTCAGGAATAGTCGCTGTTCTCTTCTGTGGAGTCACACAAGCACATTATACCTACAACAATCTGTCATCAGATTCCAAAATGAGGACTAAACAGGTAAAAGAAAAATTCACTCCAGGCTTTGTCTCTTCCTCAGCGATTCTGGCAGCACACACGGAAAGAATTTCATTAGTAAAGGAAGAAAGTGAGCTTAAGACTTCATTACAGATTGGATATTTATAGATTCTTTTCCCCTCCAGGATAACCATTAACAATCCTCTTGGTAAGCAAAAATATAGTTGTAACAGTCTCTCCCTCCTGAGAGATGCAGAAACGTAGACTGTCGGTCTTGAAGATGAAAGGCCTACAGTCAGTAATAATTCACAGTCACATCTAAACACATTATAAAGCATATGAGATTGGGTAGTTATAGAGAGAGAAGGAAATGAAGAAGCATACAAAAGTGATATTTGGTCTTTAATTGAGTGCTTTTGCTTCTAAGAAAACTCAACTGCCAGTTGTCATACCAGCAGAATGCATCTCCCTTATTCTGAGAACACATCTGTTTGGATATTTGCATATAAGCATGCCAGATTCCTTCCACACACATTTTCTGGTGACCACTTTGTGCCAAGCATTGTGCTAAGTACTAGGAATACAAAGACATACAGTGTGTGACCTTGCCTTCAAGAGGTCCATTATCAAGTCTATTGATAAGGACAAAGACATACAATGAACAGTAATCCACAAGATGACAAGTGCTGGGATAGAAAGAGCCTTATCAAGTGTTTGGAGAGCACTTTGTAAGGCTTCCTCCCTGGTTAAAACTGGAATAATCAGGAGAACATTTCCAGAGATGGTCTTCAATCTAGAAAAAAAAAATATATATATATATACACACACACACACACACACACACACAAATAGAAGTAATTTGATAAAGGGTTGGGATCCAGCAGAGGATGGATGGTTTTAACAAGGAGGGCATTGAGGTCAAGGGATCAGCTGAGCAAAGTCTTTTAAGTAACTGACTGAAGCTCTGTAAATATTTCAGTGTGGCCAGTGAAGGAGGACAAGCTAAAGCAAGTGGGATATGGTGAGGGATGAGGCCATAGATAGAGCCACAGGCCAACTTATGCAAGGGCTTAGGGGCTTTGAGAAGGAATTTAGGCTTTATCCTAAAAGTAATGGGTTCTGGCTTATATGACAGGAATTATTGCTTCACAGTTTTGGAGTATAGAGATTGAGACAAAGGTGTTGGCAGCATTAGTTCCTTCTAAGGGCAGTTAGGGAAATTTTTTACTAAGTCTTTCTTTCTCTCTTGGTTTCTGGTCATTTTCTGGAGATCTTTGGCGATCCTGACCTCTACCTTCATGTCTACATGGATTCTTCCTATGCACCCTATCTTCAAATGTCGTCTTTATCTAAATGCATTAGCCATGACCTCTACCTTCATGTCCACATGGATCCTTCCTGTGCACCTGTCTATCTTCAAATGTCATTTTTATCTAAGTACATTAGCCATATTAGATTACGGGCCCACTCTACTCCATTATAGCCTCATCTCAACTAATTACATTTGCAATGATCTACTTCCCAATATAGTCACACTCAGAGACACCAAGAATTAGGAATTTGGAGGAACACAAGTCTGCTCAAACAGGATATTGTTGAGGGGACTTATGTAGAATAATTTTAGCATAATTGAAGTGCAATTTTAGACATATCACTCTGGAAGATATGTGGAACATCAAAGTGCATCAGTTAGTTTTGCTGTCTAACAACCAACCAACCACCCCAGTGATATCTAGCAATAAACATTCATTTATCACTCTCCTGCAAGGTTCAGCCATTTTGAACTGGGCTGGGCTTAGTGGTGCATCATCTGAGCTTATTCATATATCTTTGGGTTTGTTCAGGGTCCTGTTCTAGGGTAAGCTTGACTGGAGCACCTTTGCCAGTGCCATGTGCCTATCATTCTTCCCTGGAAAGAGAATAAGCCACAGTATTGAAACAAGGCCATTTCAATCATTGCATCGTATCTCCTAAACAGCCAAAGAAAGTTCAAAGTCAAGAGGCCAAACTGGTCCCCAGCCCACTTAGTAGGCAAACATTGCAATGTTATATGGCAGGGAGTATGGATAAAGGGAATGACGAAGACTTGGACTGAATACAGTTGGAGTCAGAGACCCTCTTCTAATAGACCTGATGAAGCTGAGGACCTGTGGTAGAATATTGAGGCAGAGGGAATGGGGAAAGCAAAGTGACCTCCGAGCAATACCTCTAATTGGCCAGGAACTCCTAACCAGGAGTTCTTAAAGAGTTATTTTAAAGTTCTTCGTGATGGCTCATGCTTTCATCTCTCTCTCTTTGTCATGTCTCATACTCAGATGTTCCTGATTGCCCCCACCTGCCCAGGATCTCCCTAAGGCCAGTCTTCCCTTCTGCCCATCACCTCACGCATTTCAGAGGAATCACAAAATGCAAATTACAGAAATATAGAGGGTCCCCAAGTAAAACAAAAACAAAGTGACCAAAAACAAGATACCAATACCTAGAGACCTCCAAGGATCTTGTAGGATCCTTTAAATTATGAAGACTTCTAGCACTCTCTAAGGTTTTAAGGAGAAATATCTTGAGCTGGCTTTTCCTGGACTCTTTCATTTCTCTGAGCATTTTGTATTCTGAGAAGCTGACCCCTGTGTAGGGACTTGCACTTTCAAGTCATGCTATCTAGACTGCTCAACAAAACTTCAAAGATAACTGTCTCGTGGCAAGACAGCAGCCAGCACCTAGGGGAGACAAAATAAGAATCAGTACCCCACGGCCTTCTGTTCTCCCTCTGAATTCATGACAAGTGGTCCCTGGTGGCTTGTCACAATCCATTTTACAGCTCTCTCTTTTCAGGAAGGGGAGTTTTACAAGTTTATTCTTTAACATCCAGAGAACTGAGTACTCCCATCTCTTCCCCCACTGACTCCTTCTCTGGAAGCCTAGATCACAAGAGGAGTTTTATGTTAATCCCTCCCCTCCCTTTGGCTTCCTCACTTCTTTTCTTAGTATCATTTTCCATTTATTTCTATTTCTACCTGTTATTTTTCTCTCATAGCGTATGCAAACATGGCACACATACATACGTGTGTGAACACTGTACATCTATGCACACATGTATCCACACACAACCACCCTTCGTATGTAGAGCCTAAGGTCACCACTCTGAAAGAAACGAGGCCAGAGATGCTCAGGGTGGCAAGCGGAGTTTAAACTCTGTGTGGGAAAGCCACTACAAACTGCAGAGAACTGCAGAAGCACATTTTATGGAGGTTGCCACTGGGTCCTCACTCTGCAACCAAGGAAGATGTGGAAAGCATAATGTGACATTACATGGCTACAGGACACTGCTTCTCCCTCTGCATCTTCTCTCTCTGTGTCTACACTGCCAACGGGATAAAGAGCAGTGGCTTGGCCACCTGGCGTCTCTCCTCAAGACTGTTTAATGGAAGAATAGGAAGTCAGCTAATGAAGTCTAGGGAAAATCCACGCAAATCAACTTTGTGTTATAAAATACAAAGGTGATATGATTTACAAAGCAATTTTATATTCTTTGTATCTTTGAGAATTAGATTGCCTTGTTAAAAATTGCATTTTCATTTAAAAATATGTTTTGTAAATGATAATTAGCCCCTAGATGTAAGAAAATTGATTTTTGGTTGAGCCCATGAAGAAAACATGTAACATCACTATGCATTAGGCCCAAAGCAGCCCAGCCCGGACATGTGGCACTGTTAGCCACCATAAGCGTTTACACCGCAAATGACAAAACACTCCACTAAAGAGCTTGAGAGCATGCCGCAATCCCTCTCCCTGGCATGGAGTGGTTCGCAGCCTTAGCGTACACATGTTCAGTTCTAGGGACAGGCAGGTGCTGCTAGCCCTGCCTCTGGCCCTGGAAGCTGAGCACTGCTAGGGACGCTCAAGGTGGACATCAGCACACAGCACTGCAGCCTAGAGGTCTCACCCTGATCCCTCCTGAACACCTCATGCAGACTCCATGCACCCACTCACACAAGTCCCAGCCGGGCAACCCTCCTCATTCCTTTCCCATCCTCCCACCCCCCAGGCAGGCCTTGGAGCTGGTTATCTAAGCCAAACTCCAGTATTTCCACATTATCCCTTTTAACTAGAATTTCTCCTTCCCTTTTTACAGTTCCCACCTAAAAATTATTTCCCACAGATACACGTGGGTATATAATATGCATATAAATAATTAACATTGATTGTTCATTGACATGAGGAAGTACATATTTACTTTCTACTTACCTCTCTACCTAAGAGACAGCTCTTCTTATTATCACTAACTACCTTCATTCATTGAACAAACATTTTTTGAGAACCTTTTGTGTTCCAGCCATCGTTCAAGATACTGGTGATATAACAGGGAGCAAAGAAGTTACTAGTAGAAGAACTTTAAAGTAGTCAAAATTTATAAGCAAAATATATAGTGTTTACAGTAAGTCATAAAACCAGTAACAGGCAGGGAATGGAGCTAGGATTGCGAGGGAAGGCAGGTTGACCAGGGAAGTCCTCAGAGAAAAGGTGATATTTGAAGGAAAGTGGAGCAATGTAGGCACTTGGTGCAGAACCATCCAGAAATTGGGAACAATAGCTAACAAAGTCCCTAGGAGCAAAGAGACCAAGGTGTCTGGAGCAGAGTGAACGATGGGAGAGTATGAGAGACAATCAGACAGCAACAAGTCATGGAGAACCGCGTGACGTGGGAAAGACTGGAAGCTTTTAAGTACAGCTGAGTATGTGATATGATTTAAGTTTGAAAAGAGTGGCTGTACCATTTATTAGCTAGGGAAGAATGCAAGCGTTACAGGCTGGAGGACAATCAGGAGCCTAGTGTCACTTTGCTGAGCTTTGAAAGTGTATTAGCCAATCAAGAGAAGCCTTAGAGGAGCTAGCTGGACACAGAATGCTCCAATTCAGGAGAGAAGTCTAGGTTATGCACACAATGTCAGGTGTCATTAGCATAGAGATGACATTGCAAATAAGAGACTGGATGAAATCTGCCATAGTTTGGACGCTGAATATTCCCCCAAAGGCCTATATCC